CAGCAGTAACTAGGGATGAGCCAATAAATACTGGGCCATTCTGCAAAGCCCACATCCCACGAATCAATAGTAAAGTTTCAAAAATCGTATTGGAACCTGAAAATTAGTGGTTTATATTTTACCACCATGACAATACAATAGCATTCCCTAGGGTGTGGTACTAATTCGATACTTAATGTATGCATTATTCATTTAGACGTGGGTGTGTAGGGCATAATTTCAGAATTTGCAGATGGTACAAAATTTGTATTTATGCTGAATTGTGAGGAGGATAATAATAAACTGCAAGAAAGCAGGTGGAATAGGCAGAGATGTGGCAGATGCAATTTAATACAAAAGCCATTTAGGGAAGGAAACTGCCATCCTTGCCTGGTCTGGCCTGTATGTGACTCTAGACCCACAGAAATGTCCTGTACAGCTGCAACATGATCTCCCAAATCTATACTCAGTGCACTGACAATAAGGGCAAGCTTACCAAACACTTCACTATCCTATCCAACTGCAACTCCACATTCAAGGAACTATGAACCTGTGCTCCAAGGTCTCTTTGTTCAGCAACACTCCCCAGAATCTTACCAGTAAGTGTATAAGTCCTGTCCTGATTTGCCTTTCAAAGGGCAGCACCTCACATTGATCTGAATTAAACTCCATCTGCATCTCCTTGGCCCATTGGCCCACCTGATCGAGATCCCATTGTACTCTGAGGTAGCCTTCTTTGCTGTCCACTGCACCTCCAATTTTGGTGTTGTCTGCAAACTTACTAACCATACCTCCTATGTTCACACCCAAATCATTTACATAAATGACAAAAAGCAGTGGACCCAGCACCTAACCTTATGGCACACTGCTGGTCACAGGCCCCCAGTCTGAAAAGTGACCCTCTACCACCACCACCCTCTGTCTTCTACCTTTCAGCCAGTTCTGTATCCAAATAGCTAGTTCTCCTTCTATTCTGTGTGATCTAACCTTGTTAACCAGTCTGCCATGGGGAACCTTGTCAAATGCCTTAGTAAAGTCCTTATAGATCACATCTACTGCTCTGCCCTCATCAATCCTCTTTGTTACTTCTTTAAAAAACTCAATCAAGTTACTGAGACATGATTTCTCCCACACAAA